GTGTGTGTGTGTGTGTGTGTGTGTGTGTGTGTGTGTGTGTGTGTGCTGATATAAACAGAAACATCCATTTCTGTCTTTTCCTTCTTTATGGGGGGCTTATGTTTCAGGTGATATACAGTATATACCATTGGGTTAAGAATGAATAAGTTTTTAAAATGCAAACAAATTAAAGAGAAGCAAAGTTTAAACCGACAACAGTCAAGTATGTGGGTGAGCTCGAGTCAGCATACCTCCTGCTTCTTCAGACTGCAGAGAGGGGCAGGAGCGTCCACCTCTCTAATCTCAATGCTGCAGCCTTCAGGGGGGCCCAGGCGCCTCTTCTTGCAGGGTGTGGGCGTTGTTGGAGGGTTGTTTTCCTTCCCTTCACTACAGCTGATCTCATCTGAGAGGTAAATAAAACTGCTTAAGGAAGGATAATGACATAATTGGAGAAAGACAAATGGGCCATCAGGATAATATAATTAAATAAAAATTAAAGGCCTTATCAGATAAATACATCATTAAAAACACAAATTAGGTACAAAAATGTAAAAAAATTAAAATAAACAACTTCAAGACTCACTTCAGCAGCTAATAATTTGGAAAGCAGCCCATTTAAGAAGCTGACCAGGCTTAGAAGGATCGACTGCTGCAAAATGCTGCCAGACTGAAGCTTTTAGTGAGAAATGTATTAATCTGCAGCTTCTGAACCGAGCCTGCGGGCATCTTAAAGAAATCTTACTGGCATAGATTCTCATGGAGAAATGAAACTATTAATCCTGTGGCGACACGGCTGCCTCACCAGACAGATAATCTCTTGTCATGATGCATCCTCCAGTGTTGCCGTCCTGCACTGGCACTGGATCACAGGCATCACTCTCCGCCACATCCATCAGGTTCTGGAAGGAGGCCATCTTCTGCTTCAGCGTGGAGGCGACACGGGGAAAGAAGGGGCTACTTCTGACAAGCTGAGGGTTGAAATGGCAGAAAATAAACACATCGACTCAGTGATGAAGCCTGACAGCTCATAAACTTCTGAAATTACAAAAGTGGTATTACTGTGAGGAAGCACATCCATCACACACTGCTTCCAAATACAGTTCAGGAGAGCTTAGTTTCCTCAGATACTGGCAAATTATGTGCTGGAATATCTTTATTATACCCCCCACCAACACAGCTTTCATAAAAAATAAAAAACACAGGTCCATCAAAATCTGAAAAACTGATTATGCAACTCACCTCATGTTGGCTTGATAACTGATCATTTCCACAGTGGTAAAAACTACCTAAAGCCCATATGAACTTCTTGAACCACCTCTTCAGCATAACGCAACTATCCACTGTACACACACTTATCCACTAAAAATATATTCTTGTGTTTTAAAGCATAACTTTTTTTAAAGCCCTAAAACATCTGATCACATGAGCAAATGTTTTTGCTTGGTTTGCTAGAGCCCACCCMCTTGTCCCTGATTGGTTAGTAACAATCTCCAACAACAGCTGATCTGAGACAGGAAGTTTAAATATTAAAAAGGCTTCTTCAAATGTGTTCTTTCATATAAATTTATAAGTATAATCTAATACAGTACCAAACGAAAAATAAGTTGACAAAGAAATGTGAGCTAATTTTATGTGTTTAAAATAAACTAAAAAGAAGATTGTGATAAGTAAAAAAAAGTGATATATCTGGACGGACTGAGACCCGGGTGATAAACAGATAAGAGAAAACTGAACAAATATCTTTCAAAAATTGAAAAGTGACAACATACATTTCCACCACATACTCTCTGAGAGAAACAAACACCTGCTGTTACAACTTCAGATGCGAGGATGAACTGTCTGGAATTAGATTTATTTACTTGTTCCTTACTCATTCCACAACTGTGTAAGTCTAGCATAACTTTTTTSCTCAGAGTATTTGACAACTTTGAAAACAGATCATGAATCATATTAACAAGTTTTGTGAGATGAAGATGAATTGACAGACTGAGCTTTTGTTCAGCACATTATTGGTTGTGTTACCCTTTTTTATATATAAATTTATAATCTTTGAATGAGTAATGGCTAAAACAATGGCTAAAAACATACTACTCTTTAGGAACTTTTAGATGGCTTAGAAAAAAAACATGTTCAAATTTGAAAAGTAAAAGCAGATTCAGAATGTGTATTGAATTCCCCTTCAATTGACACCATGTTTGTGAAAATCGACCAGGTAGTTCCAGAGATAATAAGGGTTCAATATGTRGTCATACACATATTTGCAGGAAACCTCAAAAATGCAGGGTCATATCTCTGGAACCATTGTTTTTGACTGACCTAATAATTAAGACATCRTGCTGTGGAGTTACAATTGACTAATATCCCAAGTTTCATCAAAATCTGGTGGTTAGGATAAACCCACTGAGGGATTTGTGCAGAATGACCCTAAGGAAACCTGAGAAGACGCACAGGAAAGAGGAAAATATGAGAAGTCCACATAAAACATGTTGCATTGCTGTCACTCTTGAGTACCATAGTACAGCCCCTTGGCGTAGTACTGACTTATTTAACATCATTTGACAAACGGCTGTGGAACAGCAGGRGGTCCATGATTATTTGATCCGTTTCAAGCAAATGATGCACTGAGCTACAGTCAGCATCAAAGCCTTTCAGTTTGTTTCCCAGGACGATCGTCACAGGCCAGTTTGATCAGCCAAATTATGTGCATTAGTTTTAAACAAGTTGGACATAAAACTATGCCTGCCTTCATGCCACAATATGTTGATTTTATTGAATGTCTGCTGTGTGCCTTTACTGGACCCTCTTTAACAGAGAAAAAGATCAATACCTGCTCACTGTTGACAGAGATTGAAAAAGGTTTGAGCCGACAGTACAGTAAATGAATTTATAAAATATACATTTACCTACACAGTTAGATAATCAATAAAAAGTGGAATAAATGTACTCAATGGTTTTTAATGGGGTAGAAAAAAAAGTGTCTACTTCTTGAATAATAAATAAAATATCATGCAGAATTCATTTTCTAACCCTTAAATGCATTTTGTTGTGTACTTGGAGTTTTTGGGAGTGCAGAAAATTTGAATTTAGTCTCTCCTGGTGCTGCATAGATAATTTTATATTCTGTTTGGGTGATGTTTTTCAGTCAGTTCAGTTTTCACTATTCTCCATTATGTTTTCTGAACTATTACTTTACAGTATTTGCAATGGAACTGCTAAATAAGTTATGGACTCACCAATTTTGTCTGAGACTCTTAAACACAGAATGATGACTGACAGCAGAAACATTACTAGTATTTAATAAAAGAGAATGCAGCTTTTTTTAAAATAAACATTTCAGAACATGAAAAAGACTGCAGTTTAATTTTCATTAATTGAATCTTATGTAGCTCTTATGGAG